GTATGCTAATATAGTTGAATGAGTAAAGGACAATCTTTGATTATTAAAAGTTAAAAAATTTATTAACATAAAGAACTACAATCAAGAAAATGGAAAAAAAATATATAGATACAGCAACATAGCATACCATAGATCTTTTAATCATAGCCCTTTGATGTCATGATTTAGGGTGATAGAGGCAAGTATAGGGAAAAGTCAAATTGAAAACCTTTTCAATGGAATAGAAAAAGGTCTTTTACTTCATATAAGAGCATTTAAGTGAAGTGAGTGCATATTAATCTTTTTTCCTTCATTTCTCCAATGCATCCTTCTAGGCCTATTCAAGGGGGGTTTTTTTTTTAAACTTATCTTAATGCTCTTTAAAATCTTATTTAATTGCATTGCATACTCTTTAAGAACCAATGATAGCTCTCAACATACTTGCCTGATTTTCATAATTTAACTTTTTGACATGTGGATACTAGAAAGAAGCATAGGCTTCTTTTGATGCCATATCATAAACATAAAGCTTTGAAACCATTTTGTTATAAGTTTGACTAAATAGCAGCTTCAGATTGGTGAAAAAATTGTCATAGAAGATGACAAGTTTGGGTTTGCCCTATCAAACATGTTAAAACATAACTCGATAGATGTTTTTAATTTTTTATTAATATATAAATATAAATATTTTTATATTAATAGTATAATTGTAATTAATATATATTATAATTGTAACGGCCCCGGAAATTTAAATGAAATGTATGTATTAAAAATCTCAAATGCGGAAGTGTAATAAAAATTTTGATTAACATCCCTAACACAATAACCAAAACGTACTCAAAATATGAAGGAACAAACTAACTAAAAGAGATACTCGAACACTAGGTCTCTCCTCCAGGTATCTGCATAACTCTTCTGCCTACTCTGAGCTGTCTGAATGTTCTTCTTGATTTTAACTATTTTGGACGTGGTCTCCTCTACAAACTCTAGGCTGAACAATCTTCTATCGTCCACTTTCTCCCAACAAATCGGTGATCTGCACGGGCGCCCATATAACGCCTCATATGGAGCCATGCCAATGCTTGCTTGGTAGCTGTTGTTGTAGGCAAACTCTATCAGGGGTAGATGGTCGTCCCAATGGCCCCCAAAGTCTAGGACACAAGCTCGGAGTACATCCTCAAGCGTAAGAATTGTCCTTTCTGATTGTTCATCAGTTTGGGGATGGAAGGCAGTACTAAGAGATAGCTTTGTTCCCATAGCTTGCTGGAAGCTACTCCAAAACCGAGAAGTGAACCTGGGATCCCTGTCGGATACTACTGTCACTAGAACCCCATGCAATTTGACTATCTCCCGGATATACATCATTGCTAACTTGTCCAATGAATCGGTCATCCTGATGGCTAGGAAGTGGAAAGACTTGGTAAGTCGGTCAACGATTACCCATGTGGCATCATGGGGACCGACCCTGCTACCGCCTCAACAACACATGTCGCATTTGTGGCAGTGCGCAACATTATGCAAGAGAATGCCCGAGGAACCAGAATCAAGGAAGGCCTCCTATCTAAGGCAGAGCTTACAACCTTACCCAGCAAGATGCCGACGCCGACCCGGATGTGGTACAGGGTATGTATACTATATGTGACCATATTGCTCATGTTTTATTTGACACTGGTGCCTCACACTCTTTTGTTTCACATGCTTTTGCTTCCAAAATTAATATATCACCTGATAAACTTGATTCATTGTTGTTTGTGTCTACTGCCG